ATGGTAGAGAATTTTTCCTTTTTTCCTAAAAATATTAGTGCTCTGTACATACCATATGTTGAAGAACTTTTCTCTTCCAGTTTTCCTTTTCTTTCCATTCTCACTGCACCTGCAAATTGAAAAAGAATATATGACATAAGTGCAATGTCTGGCTGATGACCCACTTTCTTGTAAAAGTCATTAGTCCGTAAAAAGTCCTAATGGTACATAATAAGAAGAAACATACAAACAATAAAATTATTTTTAATGTCACTTTACAATTACTTTTATTGTCTAAAGCACTGGAAACAAAAAGTATTGTAGTTTACCAACTTCTGAATGCTTGTCCTTCTCAATCACGTTCTTTAATATTTTCTCCTTCAGACTCTCAAAACATTTCTCCTTTACGGGCACAGAGCACTGTATCTCTGTCCCTTCAGAGCTCACTGATGTGGAAGACCTCTTTTTTTTACTATTCCCTTTGGGTAACTTTAGACTATTGGTTAAAGGCATTTCCAGATGCAAGGCATGTACATGGGACGAGGGTGCTGAAAACAAGAAGACAGATTTACTAGGCATTCCATAAGGATTGCAGCCAGATCACTGGCTGGGTCAGATCACTGAAATGTCAAGTATCGGTCATAATATCATCACGCTTAACATATAATTACTACATATGAATGCCTAGGTCTTAGTCTTACGTACAAGACAATACATGCCACAGAAAGTTTCTTTGTCTGTTTTGGAATTTGCGCTCACTTTTGAACTACTTGTACTGTTTAAAGCGTACTTTTGCTGCTACTTTTAAGCCTTTTTGTTTCCTTTTTATTTCACTGTAATAGAAACCCATGTCAACAGTAAGGGTTAAAGGTGCTGACATTGTCAATATCGTTTAAGTTAATGTTCCATAATGTGAACAGAGAAAACTAAGCTCTGTCACAACATTTTTAGTGCTATGTATAAAATTTACACTTCTGCTTATTGCAGTTTTCATTGATTTTAATAATATTTAAATCATTCGTTGTCTTTCATGTGTATATTTAATCCGCATTTGAATTACATGCAAAATACTGTGGTAATTTGTCAGAATTCAGGATCATATACTAACAATTCTTATCTTGCACTATTCAGAAAAGTTTATTCAGTGAAATACTTAGGTGTTTTTTAATCTTTATCTGATGCAAATTAGGAAATAACATGGCAAAACAAAACTCAAATTATACTTTTCATTGCTAATATTTATAATCAAATAGGACAATGGAATTTTCAAATAATCAAACTAGAATAAAAGTTCACATTATTGAGGTCATTCAAAACTCTCTATTACTGTGTTCATCAATATTGTGAGAGCTTTAAGTTTCATTTAAATGTAATTAGGAAAGCCTAATCTTCATCAGACCATTGAGGACATTTCAGGACCATGCCAAGGACATACTGTACAAAAATGCAGCTCTGCAAAGTCATAAGGGGTTCAGGTTTTGCAATGCCAGCTGTAGACACTTGGAGGCACCAGTCACCTTTGGTGTCTCTCAACATATGAGCCCAACAAAAGTATCAGCATGGAAAAACACTTGCGGGTTAAAGTGCTGAATCGAAAAAAGAAAAAAGATCCTGAAAAATACCTGGTAGCGGTCAAGATATTAAACAAGACCAAATACAAAGCTGATCTGGAATGGGTTCTTTGAACTCCCCCCCTTTTTTTTTCCAGTAATAAAACAACAACAAGTATTTAAATAAGTAGTGTTAAGATAATTTAGTAAATTCATCAGTCATAAAAGGACTCTGGAGAAAAGGCAAGAACATCTCAGGGTTGACTCTGTGAGGCAGCCTTCCAGGCTTGGACAGACCAACCCAATTCTACTACGATACAACGTACATGTTACATGAAACTTACTCCAGCTCCTAGGCAGCCTTCTCAGGAACAAAATGCCACAGAGTGAGAAAGCCACAGGGGCAGCAAGAGCAACAGCAAGCAGTACATCACCCAGCACACCACACAGCACTTCTAAATGCCAATGTTCCCAGCTGCAAGACGCAAGTCATCACCGTACCGCACAGTCTAGCCAGCAGCCAGAAGCAGCTGCTCAGTTCTGCGTGCTGGCTTCTAGCACAAGACACGAGCCGCATGACCACAGCTGAGCCTTTCCACTGCCTCAAATCAACCACCACCTCGTTTAAGACCATAATCCTTTCAAGACTGGTCTACCATTCAGGCTCTTGCCTTTGTCTGTATTTCAAGTGGACTTAGCTTGCCGGGGTACTTATCATCGACACAAAACACTACCCAAATTATTCCTTTCTTGGGTTTCCTAATTAACATTTGTCTCTGTTACAGGACTGAACTGCTTTGCCATCTGTGGAGCAGTAAGTATATTTCAGCACCTCAGTAAAAGAAAAAAGTGACACTTCTTCACATCATCGTGCTATCAACATCTCATCTCGTTTCTAAAAAGAGCATGAAAGGATTACTTAAATGCACATAATTTGGTCAGGTCACTGCCATTTTGATGAAAAGATATGAGACTACTCCATCCAAACAAGCTCAAGAGAAATTTACTCTCAATATTAGATGAATTAGTATTTGAACTTCGTTATTCAGAAGAAATCCTGACCTCAGACATTCAAACGTGCTCTGCTATTGATAGCCACAGCACAACAAACTTCAGTATCTCAGTATTTCAACACAAGCATATCTGACAAAGTAATCGGCTAGTAACTAAATAACTGTTTGAGGGAACATTTATCACAGGCAGAAATCTGCTACAGTCACACAAATATCCATCTCAATCATAGAGCTCTCCAAACTGCCTTTCTATAGTAACCTGAAGAGAGAAATTACTATTATGCCTGCATACACTGCAATGTTATTCTTGGCTTTTACTTTTATTAATCAGAAATCATTCTAGATTGAGAATCATAAATTCTCAAATCCTAAATAAAGTGTTAAGGCTTACAAAGCCTAATTTTCAACTGTGCAATCGTTATGCCTTACAAGTAACCACAAAATTAGACAAAGTAGACAATCACAGTCTGAAGGGCAAGTAACAAATACAAGAAAAATATTGGTTTATAAAAAACTTCCTTTATGGAAATATTACCACATATTTTTTAACTGTTACTTTTAATTGCAATTTCATTCCTGTTGAGGAGTCTAGTCAGCCACATCCCACAGTGAAGCGTGGGAGGTCTGCAATTAACACTCAGAGAGAAAGATGCTTAGAAATTAGACTTGATAAACTACTGATTATGTCATTGTTCTAGGATCAATTTTATCACCAGAAGACTGATTTCAGATTGAAAACAAATGTAAGCCACAGCAATTTTCAGTCTGCTTTATGACACGTTTCCAGTGCTACCTCTCCTGATCTGGCACGGTGAAGTGACACAAGCCCCCTTCGTGCGAGCACAGGCACAGAACAGGATGAACAAGCACAGCAGCACAGACGGGCTTTTAATGGTACTGCTTATTTCAGTTCAGCAAATTAAAATAAATTATATCAATGCAAAGTGACTTATCTTGTCGCATGATATTGTATTCCATGGCTTTTGGTGTTTCAACTTTCCTAATAACAGAAATACCATAATCTGCATTAATATACAACTTAAATCATAACACGACCAGCATAATTCATGGTTCTATCATAACTAATTTTGTGGTTTGAATTCCCAGTCCATAGGATGAATTTTACATCTAAATGCGCTTTAAATACATATTACAGATTAATACCAGATCCTGCACAAAACAATCTCTTTAGGAAGGATGAGGACATGAAAGGTTCTTGCTTGCCTTCAGTTAACTACTCCAAGAATCAGCTGGGAACTTCAGGGCAGAGATTAGAAGGGCAGACATTCAAATTAGGAGTAAACCTGACTGTCAATAGATGTTCGGAGTAAAACAAACAGCTCCAGAGTAACAAGAGCTTTAGTTCACTGGAGTCTGGATACCTCTTAAAAGCAGAGTAACCAATAACACTGGCAGGAGTTTATTAAAAAGTGATTGATCTCATTTTCTGAAAATACGGTACATCAGCTGTTTCTTGTTCCTGCTGCAGTAAATTGCTATCAATAAAATTACGTAAAAGTATACAATGTTTTTTTCTTTTATCATAAGTGCAAATTTGTCCCATACAGTTAACCTAATGCTACCCTACTAGCAAAATCATCTAGACTGAGCTAAAACAGGAAATAACAGCTAATGATAATATTGTTATATTACTATTATAAATATTGTATTAATATTGTTATATTAGTAAATGTAACAATATTTTCCTTTTACTTGAATTTTAAAACCCAGATTGCTTGCTGAAATTATGTTTGCTCAAGACGTAACAGTTAAACTAAAAAAAATGGTGTAGAGTTACAGAAACCAAGAAAAATTATCACAAATTTTAAGAAAATTACAACTACAAAAAGATCTGAACTTCATGTAGTCAAACTGGAAAACTACAGTGTTTTGCATGTATTCAGACTGACTGTGAATTTAAAGTCTGTGAAAGGCTAGGTGACAAAAAGGCCAGTTATCTACATTTTAAGCAGTCTGACAAATGAAAGCAAGGATTCTTAGTTATGTGCGTACAATATCAGGTCATCACAAGTAGGTCCATACACCAGTTTAGGCAAAGCAGTACCTCTGTTCAATAATTAACTGGCAGTGTACCAGTGTCTACCGAAGTGCACAGTAGTTCCATGTAGCCTGTGGACTGAAGGAATCGATCACAGTGCTTTTGTGTTGCCTTTACGAAATTGCAAGTTGTTCATTTTGAGCAACGATTCTGAGAAGGAATCTACGTGTTAATACTATGATTTGCCATTTATGCTTCTGCACTTCAGTGCACCCTATCCCTCCCCTCTGAAAAACACCCAAGTTAGTATCTTTGGAATAAAGAAGTCATTAAAATGCATCATTTTCAACGACATAAAATTGTATTTTCAATTGACTCCACTGATAGCCCCCATCAGAAGTCTAAACTTCCAAAACCACAAATTGCATCTCTGGGTCTAAAACAGTACAGCTCTTTTACAGAAGGGTTGGTGATCATAATAGGCTGTTTCAGGCTAAATACTTCGTCACCTCCATAATTTCTGAAACTATCTACAGTTATCTACTTCAATGATTACGAAGACAGCAGGTCCAACTTAAGTGCACTTAAATTCCATAGTGTTGTCAAAATCTAGAACACCAGATCTGTCCAGTCTGTGTCAATAAAAATTTAAACAGCAGAAATATCATAAGAGGACATAGATTTAAAATAGTTCTTTCAGATTAAAAAAAGCAGACAATTACAGAATAGTCTGGATTTTACACCAGAGTTCCCAAATTGTAACATACAGAGTCACAATGCTTACGCTAAACAATGCGATATATTAAATTACACTTAGGCAGGCAGATGTTCCTGCATAATGCAAATTAACTTTTCTCAATAATTTCAAGCATCAACAGGAACGAGAAAGAAAAGCTTTGGGCACCTCTCCTTTATATATTAGCTTGCCATTGTTTAAACAGGTTCATTAGAAAAGGAAAAGTAGTGATAAATAGAGTGGATTCTATTCATTACACCAAATTCTTGCACGCTTCAGAATTACGTGTGCTTAAGTAACATGACTTGAGAACCTGTGCTATTTCAAAAGCAAAAAGATGCCTTCTAAAGCAGAGAACACAACAAAAACTATTCAGTAGTGTAAAGTAACTCCAGAGGTTTCAAACCTGAACTTAAAAGCTACATTTTTATTTTTCTTCTAAGAAGAATAAGACAAATGAGTTTCACCAGAGTTAGAAGCCTGAGATGAACCCAAAAGACGTGAACTTTAGTTACAGAATCCTAGAGATACTACTGACAGAGGCAGCTAGCTCCAAAACTTTCTATGAAATCCTGAATTAAAGATATCAAACTGCTTGGATTAGTCTTTCAGCCCACAAAGCTTATACTGCTCAAGTGGATGCTGGGCTGCATACTTCTGAAAACTTCTAGCATTTGGACAAAAAGTCAGTATGAAAGCTCAAGAGAGAGTTCTATTGCATGGAGGAAAACTGCAATACATGAAATCAGGAACAAAAAACAGGTCTGTCCAGAAGGCAAAAAACCCAGAAGACAAAAAGGTAGCTGGCAAATCATTTCCTTGAGAGCTTATAACTCTTAAAATTATGTAGGTTCAAAAAAGCTCCACTAAGCTTTAAATACAGTATAAACTGTATCCTGCAGCATAGGTTGCAAATGCTTCCATCTTCCCATTCTGGACTCAAGTAGCAATACCAGATAATTTTGTCAGGGAATGGTTTTCCCTGACCCAAAGTGTGTGGACATGTCAAATATTTTTGAGTCATAAATAAAGGTGGCTATAAGTGAAACACATTATTTCTTTAATTAGACTCAGCTGTGGCCAAGACCAAGCTCAACAAATAAACAGGTACAAGTGTCCTCATGGATGCTGGGTTTAGAACCAGCTCACGCAGAGTCCGAGCCAGTCCCATGATGGAAGCGGGCAACAAAATAAATACCTGTCAGCATTACCAATTACACATTAAATGGTCCAGAAAACATATCAGAAAAGCCAGAAGTTAAATTCCTAGTAACTGAAATGAGTTTTAATAAACAAGAAACAGATGGTAATTGGAAGCTGTTTGTTTCTTTTACAATCTTGTTCTGTGAGTGGGCAAATATGCATCTCCCCAAAACACTTCTCTTAGTGGCAGAAGACATGAGATAAAAGGACTTTTACAGAAGTAACTTTCCCAGGAATCTGCTATTCAACTGCTATGCAACATATCAAAGGCAAATGAAGACTGTCACATGGTTTCACTAGAATATTAAGTAGCATTTTTAAAAGCTTAAGTGGCAGCTCATTAGAAATTCTTGCAGTCCTTACTTTGACAAATTAGTTTAAGAGATTAATAGATTTTTTTTTTTGAGAGAGAAAGGATAATTACAATCATCTATTTTAATCTACGCAATATTGATCCAAGAATCCTACTCAGCCTTTGCTGTATCAGGTTAAATAGCTATGCTACAACTCGATGAAGTGATCACCTTACACTTTCAGTGGGAGCACGTGTGGGCAGACACCCAAGAAGGGGCCGTACATACTAAACAAAATGCTCCACTGACCCATTGAGCACTGCAGCTACACTATCAGCTTAATGCAAAGTTGTTATTCCCCCCCCCAAACACAACTAAGTTATACTTTGAGTGCCATAATTACACACTTTAAGGTCATGTTGTCCTCCCTTACTATTGATCACATTTACCAAAAGCTTCCCCAACAGAGTACAGTAATTTGATTTTTTCCTCCTCTTACTTTATTGAACAATTTTCTCATTTAAAAAAAAAAAAAAAAAAAGGCTTGTGAGAGAATTCTTTCTTGGAAGCCAATTAAAAATGGTATGATACTCACCCACATAAGAGACTTATTTATGAAAAAAGCATATGGACACCTAACATATACTGGATGAAAACAACCCACTTCTAGGGTCTGCAAACCACTATGTAAACCCTTCCCCAAATCTCTTAATTGCCTCTATCCAAGTGATTCACTTAAACCACATTAGCCAGTGAACTCTTACAAAGTGAGAGGCAGCAGAGTTCCAGTATTGGGCTCTATGCTAACTCTGTGAGGGCGAACCAAGTCTATATACATTTTAGAGGATCTTTCAGAAGTATTTTCATGTAATATTTCACAGCAAGCAAATGACAAAATTTCCACTGCAAACAGAAGCAAAGGTAGAGGAATGCTGACTGCCTCGCAAAGTGCTACTAAGTTTTAAAGCTGAAGCCACAAGATCAATGAGTATATCTAGATTTAGTATATATTAGTATGTTAGTAAACAACTTCATAAATTATTTTTACAAGTTTTAACAATATAAAATATTTTTGAAAGAAATACTGCTTTTTATATTCCACACTCTCAGATCCTCCTTAAAGTGTGTTAGAAAAAGTGCTAATGCAGCTCAAAGCCAGTGAAAGACAAAGAATATGCAGATGGATGAACCCCAGGAAGAGTGGCAGCTTTGCAAGCGTGCAGAAAAGAAAACGTATCCCCTTTTTCTGTGTGACTGAATACATACACGTTTTAACCCTACAACTATACACCTAACTGGTTGTATACTGAATCTCTTTACCTGCCGCTGTTGTAGCTACTCTTCCATCAGTTACTGCTTTGGAAGAAAGATATGTAATCATCTGAATATCTTCCTTGTCTTTACTGGGATATTCATTACGGAAAGTGGATTCTGTGGATAATGGTGTTGTAACTTCCGAACTACGGCTTAAATCAAGGGGGAGACATGGTCCACGCTTCTCAAGTGACATATGAGCAACATCAGGTACTACATAAAAGAAAAAATGTAATATTAAAAAAGGTACATAGGTCCAACAAACAACAGTTTGGATTGCAGCGTTACATAACATAGGAACAGCATACAGCTTTAGCTACAATAAGTCAAAATATCCCATTAGATGAAAACCGTGAAAGGTCTAATTTTTATGATTCAATTTCTCTTGGGCAGTTCTTTATTAGATTAAGATACATTACCCTCCAATTTTGATGACTGTTGGTTTTGACCACTGATGGAGAACACTTTTCCATCAGTAACTGAAGAGGGAGAAGAAACTTTTTCTACAGAATCATCAGGCAAGGAGCAAGTGGCTAAACGCTGTGATCTTCTTCTCCGTTGGCTATGTTTGTAGGATCTAGGGGAATTCACTGGCTGTGATGGACCTAAAAAGAGATCTTTCAATGTTCATGAAGCAGAGAGATACACCATAATCTTACCGCAGTATTTGAGATCTAAAGATGGGGAGTGCTTTAAATAGCTCTTATTTGCAAAGCTGGTAATCACAGCAGAACTGGTAAAAGTAATTAAAAACCGTGACTACCAGGAGCAAAAAAAGTTATGCTCAAGATATGATTCTGCTTTTTGTTTATTATACATTATTAGGGCATGTACTTCCCCACTGATAAAGGCTGTTGTTTTAGCCAAACAGTGTATTTACAATAAGCAACCCCCCATATAACCCATGAGAGTAGGCTACTTATAATGGAAGGGGGCAGTAGGATTTAACAGTAAACAGAACAAATGATCACAGTTAAAGATCTAAAAAGTCATGGATAGTGGTAACATACAACTTAAAAAAAAATAATAAAAAGCAGTGGTTAATTTTATATCCCACCTCCCATGTTCTGCTAACCTGATATCAACACCCCAACTCTATTTCAAATGCACGTTGCCAATGCACGGCACAGTAAGAAGGCTCAAGAACCTCATACTTAAAACAAACAAACATGGGGGGGGATTGATATAGGTTAATATAGGCCTGATTCATTAAAAACAAAAAACCCACACACCCCTACATCTCTCCAATTTTACCCAGTTTCACAAACTTTTGCCTTAGAAAAGCATTTAAGTCATTATTACACTGTAAATCACCATTCTCTCCTTTTCTTAAGCAGTTTTTAGAGTCAAAGATGTACAGATTTAACAATAAAGACACAGCAAAATTAAATTTCCATTAGAGGTGGTAAAGACTCAGAAGCCACAGATTAAAGGACAGCACTAACAAGATCAAAGCTGTTAAGTAACCTATGTTTAAATTAGCTGATTTTTAAAATATTGCTACAGAGAAGTCTAACTTAATCCAAAATACAAACATGCTCAAGGAAAACTACTTACCATTATTTTAGGGGTGGGGAGGGAAGGCGTATTACAATATAGATGACCGCTAATATTTTGTGGGGACAAAATACAACTTATACCAAGGTGTCCTGAATAAATAAAGATGGCTGAATTTGAACCCCTCCCTCTCCCATTCATTTAAAGTTATCTGTGAGAAAAGATTAAAAGAAACTTATCTCCTAAGGGAAAATATCAAATCAAGGTTAAGGGGAACACATGATGCAGGTATAGTCTTCCATCCTCAATCACTATTCTAAAAGTGAAATAAAAATGTAGCTTTTGACTTACTGGAACCCACATTTATTTTAACTGTTGGCTCATCATTTAACGTTCTTCAGGCAACAAAGAGCCTGACCCTAAGCAACACTAAAAACCTAATGTAATCTCAAAAATTATAGAAATATTTTAATATTCACAAAAAACAGCATATTCAAGGATGCAGCATAAACCTTTCCCTGGTCTTTTGATAACCAACATTTTGGTACTTCACAAATCAGTTACACATGTTAAAAAGCTGAACACCTATGGTATTATTCTGAGACAAAGAAACACGATTTTTTATTTTTCCCCACCACAGATCTTGAACCCATCTTCTCTTTCACATCATATTTGGAGGAAATATCACATAAGGCGAAGAATGCCACAGCCAACAGGTACAGCACATCAGCCTGCTGAAGGCGGAATTTCTCAGAGAAGGAAAGGTCCACAACCAAGGTGTACGTCTTTTCTTTTTAATGAATCAGGCCCCTTCAGAAGAGAGGTTTGATTTTTCCTGTATCACTGTTAATACTAACGTGGAGATTTAAGCTGGAGGGAAAGCCAACCATTAAAAAGCCACGACTCTATAAATATAAATGTATTATTTAAATGTATTATTTCTGGTAGAGTAATTCATATGCCTTGTTATGTGACTTGACTTTTAAAATACTGAGCTACCCCTAATTCTCCCGCTTGGACCTTTTATTTAAAGCAGATTCATTTTTAAAAGCAATAGCCATTTACAACCAAAAAAAATTTCTGTATATCTCTTATAAGTAATTACGGTATTTTTTTTAAAATGTCTGTGCTCACTAGTTTTATTTATCACAGAAGAAGGAAGCTGAGAGACCAGCGTCAAATCCTCGACTTGTATTAATTCTGGGGAAAGTGGTGATTTAGGGGGCTTTATACACCCGGAAGAATCTCCAGATTCTTGTTTGCATTTCTTGCTGCGAGCCTTTCCTGAAGACAAAGTTGAGGATAACAGTGCAGGTTTCTGAATGTTGGCAGAACTGCTAATATCAGCTTCATTTTTTTTCTGACTTTGTGGTTTAGGTGAAATCTCCTGAATAAATAATAAAAAATTGATACTTTTATTTCAGTTTCTTCGCTGTAGTTCTTGTATTCTATTTTGATTTTTTTAAAAGCAACTTTAGTATTCAAAACACATTTTAAAACAACATTATTTTCAGTACAAATGAAAACTATTTAAAATGCATCATATTAGATGTTTTTTTTAAAGGAGCACTATCAATTATTTTCAGTATTCAAAACACCCTCATTTCTTACTATTTGAAATATCTGCAAAAAGCCCGAAAACAAAACATGTTTCCCCTATTCCCATTTTAAAAATTCACCAAAGTCTTTTTTGTTTCTGTCTCTTTCCTCTTCAGTAGACCAGGACTGTTAGTGCCGTCTCAAAGTATAATTTGGAGAACACTTGTTACAAGCGAGAATACATAGACTAGAATACAACCACAGAATATCTCCAGTTGGAAGGGACCCGTCAGGCTCATCGAGTCCCACTCCCTGCTCCTCGCAGGACTACCTAGCTCTAAACCATATGACTAAGAGCATCGTCCAGACGCTCCTTGAACTCTGACAGGGTTTTGTACTGCTATGAGAAAGCAATCCTTGTTCAGAAGATTGCAGTTCTAAAAAAAGTTGCCAAGATTTTCCCTTCACAGTCGTTTCCCTGCCCATAGTAAAAAAAAAAAAAATTAAGAAGTTCCTCAGGAAAACTTTGTTTAACACGAATTTCATTTTTACAGAAGAACCTGAAAAAATTGATAGTGCTCCTTTAAGGAATGTCTGAAACAATAAAAAGTTTCCAAATACTAAACACACTCTCACACAACCCCTTTCAGTGCTGGGAGTCTGGATTTCACCACATTATATGTTTGTGCAAACACATGAAGAAATCACAACTTCTAGCACCACAGGGTTAAATAGATTGCTAACTGTTGAGGAAAAAATGAGCAGATAAAGAGTTAAAACAGTTTTTGAAGGAAAAAGAAAAAATAAAAAATCAACATATAATGCAGCTTTCCAATTTCATCAATTTTCATCCTTCTTAACACACATACTGAAGTATTATTTTTAGACAATAAGCATGCATTGACAGACATTAGCATTTTAGATTTTTAACTGGAAGTTCTTCCTACATTACTGAATAAACTGTGCATGTGTTACAACTTGCCCAGTAATGGCAAACTACAATATCTGAATGTAATTTCTTAAACCTGTCCCCTTTCTTTTCCCAGTTACATCACACAGTATAGAACCATCTAATAAAACCATAACTAACAAAGTAGAAAGATATTTCTAGAATGCGTGCACCACTTTATCCAAACTAAAAACGTCACATCTCTGATGATTTGAGGGTATTACTGGGTTTTGTTATAAATCGCAATTTTATTTTCCACTGGAACTTTCCATGTTCCAATGGAAAAAAAAAAACAAAGGCAAAACAAAAAACCACAAGTGCACATTCTGTGTTTGTAAAAGGGCACCCCTGAATGCTACATGAATAGCTCGCTGGAAGTATCACGTAAAGATCCGGTGCAAAACACCCCGTTCAGCAGACAGCAGTTCTACCTTGAATAACTCAATTACACATGTACTAAGTGCAGTTTATTCATTTAAATAAAATATTCCATGAACTGTAGAGTATACCTATGCTGGTTATGAGAGGTATTACCAGAAATTAATTAGAGTCGTAACTTGTAAATAAACAATTTTATTGTTCATCTTCACAGATGTGAAAGACATTACTACAGCATCCATTACTTTCAAATTACAAAGTTATTTAAACAAGATTAAAAAAATTAAATTAATATTTTGATAAGGTGCTTAACCTCGTAACAGGACAAATTAACATTAAAAACCTTAATGAATTAATGTTATTCATCTAATCAGGTCTTGGTCAAAAGGAAATATAACATGACATACCCTAATACAGTTAAATAAACTACTTGTATCTGCAACTAATCATCTGAGGTTTTGGGTTTAAGACTTTAAAACAACTGTAAACTAAAAATATATAAATATAAATAAAATAAACTTCAAACAACAAAGTCAGTTTTCGGCTATTGGCCTGAATACTTCTACCATGTTCTGTATTACATTATTAAAAAAACCTACAAGATATTTTACCCATTCAATTTTATAGCAGTAGCAAACAAAACCTCTAAGGAATGTCAGCTTTGCTATTGGAAAACCTTTTGGGGAGGTTTATAACTCGGCCATTTTAATTTGAATTTGGGCAGGAACTTAGTGAAAAAAGCTTTAAGCTCAAAAATTTTTCTCCCCACAGTTAATAATTTAAAAGTTTGTGAGGTTTCTGTTTTTAGTTAGAAGCGAAGGAATAGGACAATTTGGGATTTTAGATGCCTCTTTAAAGGAGCTTAACTATTATTTCCAAAAATGAGGTTTTTCAGACCATTAGCATGTAAACAATGACAGAGACATCGTTTTTTATATCTAATTAATAAAACAGAAACAGCCGAGTTACTAAGTCTAAGAAGTAACAAAAAGGTTTTAGTAAATATGCACCGTAGTTTATACTGTTGCATACACAGTCTATGTAAACCACAAAGTCCCATTCACCGTAATGGGATTCTGCATGGTAAGATTTACATTGTAATGATTCTTCCAAAAACAACATGCTGTAAGCCATTTCACAGTTTTTTGCACATTGAAAATATCACACACAGTAGCAATAAAATCATAGCATCTTTAATATGCAAAAATTTGAGAAATGGAATGTCATGTCAATACATTGTAAACCTTTATGCAAAATATTGGTCAATGCATTGACACCGTAGTGGCTCAGTTAGCCGTTACAGTGACAGCATTAAAAACAGAAAATCATGTTCCATTGACAAGACTCGCATCCAATGCAGCGTCAATGGAAAAAACACAGCAATGCAATTATATATCAGCTCTAAAGAACCAGTACAACCAAAATATCAAATAAAGTTTGGGGTAGGGACTGTTCATAGAGTGTGCCGGGACTTAAGAACAGAAGTGCTCTTTTAAGAATTGCGGGAAGCAAGGCTATTTTATTCAAATGCTGCTGTTAAAGAAGAATGAAAATGAATACAAAAAAGCTGTATTAAAACTACATTAAGGCTCTGATTTAAATCATTGGAAAACAAAGATGTCCTGAATCAAGACTACTGTTCATCCTTAGCTTGCTTTACCATGCTTAGGCATTCAGCCCTTTTAATATGCAAGATAATGCACAACTCGGAGTCAAGCAATGCCTGAACACAATGGAATAAGCCAAAGATAAAATGGCAGCCTTCAGGTCCTGCAAATATGCAGGTTTAAAAAATCAGACCCTTAACATTATTTAAAAGTTTCTTTTTTGTATTTATTAAAATACACACCGTTGCAAAATGTATGGCTCATTGAGCGGTTCATAAAACACATACAAGCCTACAACACCAAATTCTTACAATATAAAAGAAACTTCTTTTAAAAGAAGTTATACTTGATGTCAAAAACCCTGTTTCAAACACAAATCCAATTTGTGTGAGGGCCTTTTCCTAAGCCAGTCATGGTTCCAGCTATAAAACTGGACCTTGGGACACTGGTCTCCTCACATTTGTTGCATGGAGACTTCATTTTTCTTTGTTTTCTGTTAGTTTTCTAACACAAAAGCTCATTACTGAAATTCAAGTCAACACTGTGTTTAGAGACAAATTCCATACTTCTGGCTCTGCCAGAAATGTAAACATAAGATCAATTTTCAGTTCCCTATTATATCTGAAGGGGCAAATTTTAATGTTGTAGGTACTACATCTCCATGGCACACTCCAGTGGGAACCTTGCAAAAGAATCAAACTCTACCATTTCATACCTGCTCCAGGACTGGAGCTGTTTCTTTGTTGCCTTCCTTTTTTTCAGCACCATCTGCAACAACAGCTTTGGATGCCAATAAACCTTAGGAGAAAAATTGCAGAGATTTTTAGTTAGAAGCAGCTTGCTATAAGAATTTGGGGAAAACAAAGCAAAACAGTGAGACAAGAAATATGAACTGCTTATATCTACATCATAATTATCTCTGAAACAGCTCCACACAAAGCTGAACACTTTAAATTAGAAGAAACAAAATGTTAAAAGACCTTCCCATGATGGTGACCTTTCACAAGAGCTACTTCTCTGGCATTTCCACTAACAAGATAAAAATCAAATTATCAATTGTAAAAATAATGCCTCACCATCCTTTTAAAGCCCAAGTGTTCGGGCTTTAAAACCAAGCCTATGTTACTTAAGTAAATTTTGAGAGATCAAAATTATTTATTTACAAACCTTTTCTCTCTCTCCCCTTTCTAGTCTTTAAGAAATTCCCATCAGAATTTGTATTACTACTTATTAACTCTAACACATGCAAACCTTTCTTAGACAGAACAGAACAATGGATTTAATTTCCAAATGAATATTCTCAGCAGTGCTGCTCCCAAATTACCTCAATAACAAGACCATATTGGGAGCAAATATATCAGAATATGTCACTTCATTCATGAACCCATATACAATATCACTACTATAAAAAAAAAAAAATCTGTGAAAGACAAGGCAACATAAACATGAGGAAGCTTTTTGTTGGCTAAGCATATAGCAATAGCTTCAGTTCTGCCTCACACAGTAACTTCAATTACCTAAGTATGCACAGAAAGAAAAACTTCTATGCCATAAGACAAAGCAGAACTGATAAAACCTGAAAAAACACAAATCGGAGTAAAAGTTACTATTATAATCCCTGGGAATGTCAATATTGGGGGTTGACAGTTTAAGTGCTCAAAAATAACTTGAGCTGACAGATCCACAGGAAATTCCTATTGCATTTCATGAAAAATTAGATATGCTCAAAATTAATTTACAGCACAATGCCCAAGGAATTCTAAATTAGTGAAGCCTGGGCTCTCAGGAAGCATTTAGGACATTAAAAAAAAAAACCAAACAAAAAACCCAAAAAACATGCACACAAAAAAATGGTATTTTGCTAGAGAGCTATCACATTTCAGCATTCCACAATAAATACCAGGTGCTTTTTTTCATTTACTCTTTACATTAGATTAAGTTATGCTTCAGTTTACTGGAAAGTAGTTATGTTTTAAGTAAGCTTTTTCAGAAAACCACGTCCATAACAAGAGGTGCAAACTAATTGATTTTACAGCTAAATAGGTTAACCAAAAAGCAGAAACTTACTTAGCCCTGTTATATTAATACAAATAAAATTATAGGTAAGATTTTAATTCTGCATTAGGCTTCATAAAAGATTTAGGTTTCACAGACCTAAATAAACCTTTGTGACTCAAATTATCCTGTTTAAATCAAGTCGCAAAATTAGCAATGTTCTTCATATTGACAAGCATACATCTACAATGAAAAGCATAAAATAATTTTCAAAATTAAGTGAAGTAGAGTTTTAAATACTAAACAACAAGCTACAGTCTATAAGGCAGCTTTTGTGGTTCTACAAGCCACAGGTTGCCCAGAGAGATGGTGGATGTCCCATCCCTGATATCTCCCTGCCCACGGCAGGGGGGTTGGACTAGATGACCTTTAGAGGTCCCTTCCAACCCAAAATTCCATGATCTGCCCACGGCAGGGGGGTTGGACTAGATGACCTTTAGAGGTCCCTTCCAACCCAAAACATTCCATGATTTTTATTTCTAGCTAGATGCTCAGTGGTCAGAAAATAAAGCCATGAAACAAACCTAGACTCCGTCAGACCTGTGAATATATAACTCTCTTTATTTCCTTCTTCTCTACCTCATTAAGTATCTTTCTAACCAATTACCATGCCTGTAGAAAGAAAACAACTCCACAAGCTACTACAGCAGCAGGACTACAGGTTCACCATCTCCTGTCAGTAACAGCACGTAACAAATAAAAAGCATGGGGTGGCATAGTGAACCAGAAGTGTTTTGTTCTGTAAGCTTGCTGCAGATGCTATCTGTTCTTTTAGGTATCAACACTGTAGCAGGAGATGTGGAAGCAAGCATTCCAGAGGCAAAAATTAATTGGAAAATGACATTAATACATGCTTAGCAGGAGACATCCTTCACCTTCGGGAAATGTAATTTCCCCCAGTGGCGGTAGCAGAAGAAAAAGGAGCAAAGGAAGCAACTTTATTTTGTTGAATGGTGAGCAAAGAACACCAGATGCAGCTGTTGCCCTCGTGGCAAACAAGGAGAACCTTCTGCAACAAATACTGAATGCTGAATTGAAATCCAGAAAACAGTTCCCTTCAGACAGCCTCCTACAACCACATTATTTGCTCTATTTCCCCAATAAGACATTAGGTAAACGAATGTTATTCCTAACAGCTACAATGCTTTATGATTCTTTTGTAGCCATTCTGATGGGCACACCAGCACGATTTCCAACCTTCTTTCAAATCTAAAAGCTCGTGCTGGAAACACAAACAATAATTTACAAGTATTTCGAGCATAAGAAATAAGCATGTAGCAAGAGGAAGTTTGATCATCAGCAGTTACATTTTCAAAATACTCCATTATATGCAACAATAAAAAACCTACTACAGTATGAGTTGCAGAAGTGTGTTAATTTGAGAACAGTTACACAAAGTAACTACCAAGCATGACAAAATTTCATCTTGTAATTAAAGGATTAATTCACTTCATTGAATGGTAACATATTCTCTGCCAGTGGAGTATGTTTTCAAGGAGACACAGACACACTGGTTTTAGAATGATAAAGTCAATGGGTGCAACGTGATGTTTTCCAATTATTCAGTTCAGTCTATATGAGCCCATCCAACTGCTATTATTCTCACAAAGCTCCTTAGGAAAGGAGAATCTATCCACGAGCGCAGAAAAATGTAATTTCTAGAGCTACAGGTTTTTCAGCTGGTTTTGGTATCTTCTGCTACTAACCGCTATTGGAAAGAAATAACAGGGCTCTGTAAATATGTATCACTAGCATATATCTTATACTTCTGCTGCTCATGGCAGCAATTACTTTGGGACTTAACTGAGGGTATATGCAGTATGGGCAAAGGAGAGTAGAAATGAGGCTGATAAATCAGACATCTGTTAACTAAACTCGGTACGAAATAAGAAACCTTCCAGGAAAGAAAATCTTGGGAGGCAAAAGACGGGTTTTCCTAACGACTGCTTCCTTCATATCATGTTCCATACCGGCCCATTTCATTTATTTTCTCCTTTAGATTGAAGTACCGATTGAGAGACTGAAACAGAACCACACTCATAAGAAAACTGACTAAGCATCCTCAACTGCTGACCTGTGAAAGGTTGGATCGGCCAAAGCAAGTCTGAAAAAAACCTCATCACGCAGTTTAGTAAATCAGGTTATTTTTACCTTATAAAAAGTCTTACTTGTTTCTATATGAATGACCATACCCTATCTGCTACAAAAAACAAACAAACAAAAAAACCCCTCTCATCTGTAGCATAGAAAAGTTTGTCAGACTTCACACAAAATACTATTTACTAGAACAATGAGTGGAATGCATTTCTATCTTACTGTCTGTCCAAGTGCCCCTCTGTTAAGGGGGGGGGGGGGGGGCACGACGACTTCACAACTTTTTTCCACCCAGCTTTTGAAATGCACCTGACACTTTCCCAGCACAGGTACAAACATATTACCTCATCCTAAATACTGACAGGATCAATGCTGGCAACACAATTTGCTTATTGTGAGGCATGGGGGAGGAGGGATACAAACTGAAATAATTTTTCCACAGTTAAGTAAATTTCTATTAAATTTTGGAATAAAATGCATTTTTCAACTTTTGATAAGACTTTTGATAAGACCAATCATCAACTTTAAGATAAGACCAATCATCTATTATTCCATTTCCTGTTGTATAAAATGTATTCTATAGCTGCATACTTGTTTTCCATTGATACCTTTGAGTAATAAACATAGGGAATGAATGCCTTAGAGACTGAAAAAAACGTTTCAGATCTTCATTGCTTCAATCTGTAGCTAGGCTTGTATACTTTTAAATTACATACTGTAAACTGTTTTCAGGAACAGTTTTCCTTTCCAACAAACTATGACAAAACATTTAGTTTTTCCACAGCTAACAAAAGCTTTAATTTACAGTGGTGGTATGTAACTCATGACCATGTTAAGAAGTTGTACGAACCCCAAATTCACCCGACAATGGAGAAAATTGTGCAGCTGGACTTAAAATATACTCAAGAAATTCATCAGTTCAGGATGGTTATCTTCCTAGAAAACTAAAAAGACCAAGTCAAGTCTGAGACCATTCTCTGAATTTATGAACAAGGTAGATTTTATTACCATTTATAGATTCCTTTAAAATTCCAAACAAGTAAAAGACTGTAGTGAATATCTGCCTCATGAATGTGCTTTTATCCATCTACTTTAGTATCTTATAGGCAAGCATGTATATTTCACTACATTAAAAAGGAAAAAAGTCAACAACAAAAAAGTATTTTACCAGTGATCTTGTTAAGACGAGCTCTCTTTGCCTGAAATGAGTTGCCTAGATTACTTTTCCTCTTGTGTGATAACGTGCTCTCTGCCTGCACAAAGGCCATCTTTGGAACATCCACTACAGGAAATCCTACTTTTAAACAGAAGAGAAATCTAATAAACTCACATTTCATAAATACGTGGAAATCTCCAAAATACTTAAGTATTTCAGAACTGCTATTAGAATACTGCAGTAAAGAAACTTTAAAATTCTATTAAAAATGAAAATGACACATTCTGAAGATTTAGTATTACACACTGAAACATGAGATGCAGATTACCTCAAAATTTGTAATTTTTACTCAATATTATGAGAAATGCAGTATTAAAGACTTAAATTGAATAAATTCTTATCAACCCAGAAATAGTTTCAAACATCTCTGAATATGGATATATCACCCATATTGGAATTTTTTTCCTTAAAACAGGATCAGGGATTATCTCACAGGTAACAGAAGATGCAGGAATATGAACCAAAGCCTACAATGAAGTTATTAAAAAAACCCCAAAACCCTATGTTCTGCTCTTGTTAGAGCTAGTTAGAAACTGCTGACCCAACTAGATTTATCTGATAAAAATTGTTTCTAAACTGATTACTGTTATGTATCATAACAGTTATCACAACAGCAAATGTTGTGATTTGTAGTATTTGTGAAATGTAGTATTTCTCTAGAAATTTCTCTAGAAATACAATTTATTACTTAATTGCAAAATTAACAACAGGAACTCTACTGCAACATTACAGAAAAACCTATTTTATCTTTTATAAAATTTGTTTTTACCAAATGTGTCACTAGATGTAGGCTCCTCTTCCTTTTTTTGGACTTCCTGCATGATTGTAGAGGTTGAGGTTTCTTCCTTTTTTGAAGGAACTTTTAGCCATTTTCTGTCCTCTTTATCTTTATTGCTGTTTGCGCTGGTTCTAGGTTTACTTCCTGCTTTGTTCTTGGCTGCTGCTGCAGCAGCAGCTTTGACCAAAGCTATCCAATCCTCCAAAAAGGAAAAAATGGTAAGTAAGTATTAACAAGTGCCCGAGACTCTAACAGAAGATACTTATAAACCCAGTGAAACTTCATCTAGAAATGTTCAAGAGCAATTGAATTTATTTTCATGGCTACTACTCAAAGAGTGATAAAATGAGTTTCCCAAATTGCCTAAAAAAAACCTCAAAGTATTACCAGTATGCCACATGGATAAAAAGCAAAAAGAAAAAACCTTCAAAAAACCACTGTGTATAGAATTCTGGCTCCACACGTTCCCTGCTACCTATTTTATGTGTAATAGCTTTAGATACCCAGGAGCTCCCAAACCCAGACCACTGACTTTTTTCTTACTTTCTTTCTGGCTGTGAAATACACCAATTCCATTGTTGCTCAAATTTAACTATTATTCAAAACTACAATCAACTCAAAGCATGGTCCAGCCAGCTGCATGATTGGGCAGAGTTCTTCCTGAATTAAACTGATAAAGCAGGCACAACTCTTTTCTAATTATACCTGTGTTTCTAGAGTAATTACAGACAGCACTCTTTCTGTATTACATATTACAAGTTTCATTCAATAATTTCAATAAAGTGCTCTATAATATGACTGAATTTCACAATCTACATTTAAGGTAACAAAAGTGCCATTTTGGATAATGGCTTATTTGACCATACAGAAACATCCAAGGAGTGACCAACAGAACATACAGCCCAAATTCATCTATTTTTTGGCACATAGACAACGTCTAGCCACCCTGTAAATCAGTGGGGAGAACTCAATACTTCCAAGGCTGAGCCAAGCTCTTTCCACTAGCTTGGAGTGATCAGATTCCTGCCTTATGTCTCCTGAGTGTCAGGGATCAATCTGATTGCAAAAATTTCAACTTGATCCTTTTAACTGAAGTATTTTTTCAAATTTTCTATAACATCACAGTACAGAATTTTTCCATAGAGAAGGTATATGTGATATAAAAACCAATGACAAAGTTCATCCTCCACCAGTAAAAATTAAGCATCTGAGTGTTTTGAACGATAATTTATTACATGGCAATTTGGCTACAAGAGTATTTGCAGATTTGTACTACCACATATAAAAAAGGTATGATAAAGACTATTTTTTATCTAGCTTCACATGAGTGCTTTACAGTAAGTTCCCCCCCCCAACTGTAAATAGACTGTATTTTATTCTGGACTGTTTCCTTGTTGTTATGTTATCACGAGGTACCTAAAGGATCTTGATTTTATAAATCTTGTTTCAAGATTTTTCCCACTCGTTACTTATAATAAATACTTCAAATTTCTGTTCTACTGAGGTTTCTTTGCCTTCTTTGATGTATGAGAAAAGCATAACACAAAATACAAAGCATTTTCCTTGTATCATGCTTTTTCTTTTCCATAGCTCAATACTTTTAAATCACTGCTTTACATAGGTTATGCTTCTACATTGCGTCAAGCTATGTACCTAGAAACACCAACATTTTTGATTCCTCTAAGATAAAGTGTTCCGTGTCCAAACTGTCAATGCAAGATGCATACACTCAATCTAGCTAGCAGCAGAAAAGTTTGGAAACACTTTGGCAATGCTTACACAACAGGCAACTACCAAGGCCATTTGGTGACATGCCAGCCACAAAGAGCGTGTCTAACCGCCAGCTGCATAGTCAATCAAAAACACACATACCTCTTTTTTGGCCAGCCAAAACGAGCACACACATTAGCTCCAGTCCATCCAGAGCCTTGCCCATCCAGCAGGACAAAAAAAGGATTGAACTATTTGTGCTGGTGAGGAGTTAGGAGACCTGAGAGTAGAAGTCTTACACTGTACCCTGGCCAAGGGATGAAGAGGATCAGTAACAAGGCTGGAGCTTGGATCTTATGATAAAACTGGGAAGCAAAGGAAGGGCAGCCTGCATCAAAACAGCTTCTAAGCAGCATTTAATTTTCAGTCAAGCTAAGCACCCTGAAATCAGCAGCTTTCCAAAGATAACAAACTTCAAGGACCACACTGAACTAAGTAACCTGTCTTAATGGTAGCTGTTCTGGTGCAAGATGAAGGGGTTTTTTGTTTGCATTTTATTTCATTGTTTGGATACTTTCCTTAAGCCATGGAGCTTACAAAAGGTAGCAGGACACATATAACAATGAAGCAAACAAAGGTTAAACATTCAGAAGCCAGAGCAGAAAGAAATTAATTATGGTGATAGTTATACTTTTTTTCTAGATTAACATGTAAATTTAAACTCCGTGAAGAGAACCTTGAGTGGGGGGGTGGACAAGATTATATCAAGAGGTCCCTTCCAATCTCAACAATTTTGTGATTTTGAATTGGCCAGAAACTCTGTGGGTCCATCTTTATTTTGGCTCTGTAGTAAACATATAGGCACTAAAGTGACACAGGTAATTCCTGCTTTTTAACCTTGAACTTCTCCTGAGCGACTGCTCAGCTGCGCAGGTAATTCCTGCTTTTTAACCTTGAACTGCTGAGCGACTGCTCAGCTGCACAGCTCCTGACACGTGAGAACTATTTAGCATCTAAGATGCTAAGGTGACTATATTTCTTTTGAAGAGCACAGGAACTCCTCCTTCAAAAAGATACGTTTGTGCCTTTTTCAGAATTTTTAGTAAAAATTAACAAAAAATGGGAGAGTAACAGTGAGAGCCTACAGCACAATGAATTCTGAAATCTGTCTCAAGGTTGTTGTTATCTACTCTGTCAACCATAATAGCAGGACACTAAATATCATAGGTATCACAGAAACTAGTTGCAAACCTTTAATAGCAGGACTTTTCCCCAGAGCGTTCAGTACACACAAAGGTAAGGGCACAAATATGAACACACTACAAATTAATGAAGTAAAAGCAAAATCATCCTAAGAGAAGTTTTCCCTACTTTCCCCTCGTGTCCTGACATCGTCCCTCTATTGGCTGTGGTGTTGTAACTCTGCACCAGTTACTCTGCACCATCCAGCCTGATTTCCTGCTTCCCACAGTATCTCACCCCAGTGAAAGTTTCTCATTTACATATATAACTTTAAAAAAAAAAGTGTATTTCCTTCTTTTTTATCTTACTAAAATTCATCTTTCAAGTAAGCTGATAAATTTGACAGCAGAGAAGTAATGGGACACTGTAGTTAGGAGACAAAACATTACTTTACCACTACTGAGGAAAACTGTCATTATGCTAATTAGATTCACTAAATCAAAGCACAGGAAATTGCACGATCAAGAAATACATTAGTAGAAATTACCCAACAGCCTTACACATCAATTGGCTAAAACACTTGTATTTTAAAATATTCCTTTGCGTAACCTTAAACCTGCAACAGTGGGAAGGCAAAACCAGAATAATTTCTAAAATCCAACCCTTGTGCCAATAGCAAATTCACACACACATCGTTCTCCCTTCACCTGCCTACAACCACCACCTTTTTGCTTCTCTACAGTACTAAAGATTCAGCTGTTTTTCCTCTCCTGACACATCACAACTCCCAACTCTCACACATTCATACATACACATACATAAAACATCATCGATCTATTGACTGGCTGATTCCACATCAAGCCTGGATTCCTTACCCTCACCTTTCAATTCTAAACAGTCTGCCCCATCTACATCTTGGCTCACATTGTCTCCTGTCACATCTTCTTTTTTCCTCTGTCCCAATCGCAAATCCATGCTTTTTCCTCAGCTTCCTCTTCCTGTGTGCCAAGTCCCCTCCCTCTCCTTCAAAACCCTCCTCAAAACTCACTTCTTTTGGTTCGATTTCCGTCACTAATCTCAGCTCCGGCGCTATCTGCTCCCTCTCGCGCGCCTAATTATATCGAAGATAAAACAAAAAACATGAAACAGAAAAAGTAAGTTATCCAAATACTTCATATGTGCTCTCACAAGGGTAGTCTCAATATCCCCATCTTTTTTTATTTTCTCTCTGTACTACGTTAGCCACATTTCTGTGTGATTTCAATTAATTTGCACTTATCTGCAGAGCAACCTAACCTATAGTCTCATTGCATTGAACCACACCAATATTTTCCACTCTTTAAAAATTTTGCCTTTCCACCCTCACAGCTGAGTCTTATTAAAACACACTTCTGCAACTCAAAAATAGTTTGAGTGTTAGTGTTTACAATCTCTTCCTTTAAGACACACTAAGCTCAAATCAAAAAATTAACTAGCCTATATCCCTCTTTCTCCATGTAATTCAAATTCTGCATGCTTAGCACACACCTTCCAAACAGATCTTGCATTTGTTAAATTTGCTAATGCACTAGAACTTGAAGTATCTTAAGCTTACACTCATCTCTTGAAATGTGGTTTTTCTTTGGAAACAGACAAAAAAGACATAGGCTTAAATTAAGCATGAAGTGTTGGATCTGCCAACTCCACTATTTTTCAAATCAAGTTATACCCTTGGCATTTTTTTAAGCTTTACATAATTTTTAGTAAATGTCTTCTTATAAAATAAATAATGCAAAAAAGCAAAAACATCCATTTGAGTTCTAGGCTTGGGCAAAGCTCAGTTTCAGATAACTGATTTTCAAACCAAGTCTTAGATCACATTTTTATTCTTAAATACCACAAAAATATTTTGAAAAACAAACATTTTACCATCGCATAATGATGTAGGAGATGTTGCAGAAAAAAGTATCTTTGCCTCTGAAAGCTACAGAACTTCCTATCTCTAATTTTGCAAGATGAAATGCTAAGACTAGTATCAATTAGCATTATAGAAAGCATAATTGGTACCGTTCTTGCTGCAAGACAACTTAAAAATTCTAAATCCATCTCAGAAAGTGTAAATTTGGCCCCCTTATTCTTTCTCAAGACTTCATTGAAGCCACCTACATTCAGCCCCTGAGATGCATGAGACTGACACCATAACTCTCAACTACTGAGAAAAATTAGAAATAATAGATAAGCTGGACTGCCACCAAGCATGTCTGGACATCAAAATGGTTGCTAAGAAATGGATTTATAATTTTTTTTAAAGCTGAAAATGCCTGTAGCCTAAGAGTAGTAACTCAAGATTAGACACAACATAGCTCCCTAGAAAAAGCACAGGACAGAGTAAGGGATGACTTCACATTGTCATAGAAGGGCTATTTCAGTTCAGTCACAACCACATTACCCAAGTTTTTCTTTTTATGAAGTAAAAAGAAATACTCTAGCTTCCTAACTTACTGTCATACTGAAAGTATTGTTTGAATTATTATATACTGGTTCAACAGAGTTCTTGCAAGACTGCAGCAAGAAGCCAATGTTAGCATGACTATGGATTTCAGTTTAACCTCTTTAAGGAAACATAGTTTAAATAGTGCAATGTTGCCTGCACAAAGTTCCAATGTTCTTTGCATAGATAATCAACCCTAGTATACAGCTACCTGTAACCTGGAGGCCAGGATATAGAAATGTTTTCAAGCCAATTCGCTTATCCATCTGCCCTTGTCACAATAGGGATGGTTACAACAGTAATTATGAAATACCTGAATTTTGTTTGCCAAGTTGGGAGTATTCTGAAGGAAATTGGGAGCAAGTAAGAACAGTTTTTTCACATTTCTTGTCTCCAAGTCTCAAACAGTTTCAGTGGAGTAATTTCTCATTAACTATGAGAATACAGTTGCCATGCAAGATAAACGCAATGGCATTTCCACTGAAAGCATGTATCAGTTTTCAATGTTGTTTTTCTTTTGCAAGTAAAGATATGCTTAGTGACTGAATCATGTCCTCTACTTCACAGCCTCCCTCAACTTCTACTCAGCATCTCTTCTTTAACAGCAACTGGACATTATCAGAGATAAAGAAATATTTATCTGTCTGAATCCCCAAAAGTTCTGATACAGGGGAGAAAACCCGCACAGAACAGTCATGTTAATAAGAACATGTGGGCAAAAAGCTACCACAGTAGCAAACAAAAGAGATGGGGTGGGGAATAAATAAATAAATAAATAAATAATCAATCAATCAGCAGCACAGACTACTGACAAGCTAAAGCTTTTTCCTGAAAGGACACCAGAGGAAAAAGTCTCTGGATGCCCCTGGTTTTGTAAACTCTGCAAGACAAAACTCTGAGAACAGATTAGTCGGCAATGGAGTGTATGGCAGCTAGACATTTCAGATAGAGGCAAGACTACTTGAGCAGCACACTCTGGGGCATCATTCATAAAACTGGTGAAGCAAGGCAGTGCAGGACCTAGAACAGAGACTGTACTCTAAAACTAGTTGTGCTAGATGACATTTTTACTATCTCAAGATATTTAAAAAAAAAAATCTATATAAAACTTAACAAAGAGATACCTAAAGTATTCTTACCTGCCCTTTTGCATCCTCTGGCATAGATTTGATATGCATCCTCTTAAGACATCGAATAACACCATCATAGAACTGTACTGTGAATGTTCCTAGAAGAGAATTGATGTTATCATTATGACTAGTTAAAAAACAAACACACCTTGTTACTATGAAAGCTTTAGCAAAATGTTTTGTAGCCTATATGAACAAGTAACCAGGTGTTACCTACAGTCAGGATTGAGAATTTTAAGAGAAATAAATGACAGCCTCAATGAAACCCTGCTCTTATGTTGTTGCTCTTTGTCCACTTGGACAATTTCAAGCATGTTTAAGCTACTGTGCCACTTTTGCTCATAATTCATTGAAAGAATTGAGTAATATTTAAGTTGCCACAACAGTGAAACAATTCCAATTCACAATCAAATCTTCATTTGCTTTAAACTACAGTAAAAACTTCAACTTCTACTTATGTTCATTAGAAATATCACCCCATTGTGAAGTATCGTATCTAAGTTGTTCCTTTGTTTCCCCATTTCCATTGTTTTTCCTCAATAAACAAAACTTTAGAGACACCTACCATTCCTAAAACGATTACAAAAATTTAAAGGTATCATTAGCCCAAATCGACAATAGTACAAAGTATTCATAACACTGTGCACAGGATATTCTTCTCATCACTGAGGAAACATTAAGCATTTTGTCTTCCAGGAGAAATTCCTATTGTCTAATCTCACACAGGTAAAAGATGAACCTTTTACTAAATTCGATTAAATAGAAACATTTTCCAATTAATACTGAGGCAGTGAGGAAAAACTTTATATGCATGTCAATTTTTAAGCAGACTACAGCTACAGCATAGCATATGCAAACAGGCCTTACCAATGGACCACACATGAATACATACCCTCTTTATTAATTGCTTCAATCTTTGCAGGGTAATATCGACAGTCTGTCCAACGAGCTAGGACTTCTTCTCCAGGTTTAAAATCCTGTTTTATACAAATTTAGTCATTAACATTTTAATCATTTAGACTTTTTCCTGAAAAGAATTAAACATTATGTGCTAGAGAGATTTAATGTAGGAAAACAAGTAGGATAGTTTACAAAAAAGAGGCAAAGACAAAATAAACGTGCCACTTACAACAAATTCTTCATCATCTTTCAGCCCTTCTTTCCTTAATGCTGGTCGCTCCAAGGGTCGCAACCTATTGCTGTCCCAGTAAATCCACTCATCGTAGCGATGACTCCAACGTTCAAAATGGACCAACATCTTCCCCTCTTCATAGTCTATCTTCTCAATACGAGATGGATACCTTGAATGATAAACGTAAACTGATAAGTTTCCAGGGTTTTCATTTTTTTTGCATACAACAGTGCTCACCTGACCATTCTGAAAGTTATACTAACACCTTGTACTGAGAAATCTCCAAGTCTGAAAAAGATGGAGTTATTAAATTGATAGTAGGATAACATTTAGTTTAAGAGTTATCTATACACATCAGTGATATGTCATCAGCTTCATCCTAGTCAGATGATTATACACAAATTTAAACCTCAAACTCCCAGACCAAGATTGCCTGAAATTGGCATTAGAAGTTTGTGCTTATCAATTTTAAAACCTGTGTTTGTTTAAAGCAAAGTCCTGTAAGAGTTTTTGTTTGCTTGGGGATGAGAAGGATATAAAATAGTTTTAGGAGTACAGTCATTACTTTTATCATATGAAATGTTTGGTCAAACTATACCATTGATTCCAGACAAGTCTGAGCAACTAATCAAACCCAGAAGTCAACAGAACTTAATCTACGCCACTTACTAATTTATAGATCAGCTTCCATGATTTCACTGCCATTAAATTTGATTCATAGTAACTATCTTTTAGCAGTCATCCCTCTGTAACTCCACATGCACTAAACTATGTCAGTCTTAATCATCCCTCTGTAACTCCACATGCACTAAAATATGTCAGTCTTAACACGTGGATTTTACTCTCAGCAAACATTCTACGTGGTCAGTAGAACTAATCAGGACTGAGCTGCAACCAGATGAAATCTTAGGCATCTAATTTTGGGAGTGGCATAGATGTAGTTTAGGAACCATAAAGTTTCAGATTACATTTGCAGGGAAAAAAGGCAAATTTCCTCTAACCTTAGCAATTATTATTCAGTCTTACTATTTCTGTTTCACCGAAGTGATGTATTTCACAAAATTGTAGTAGGGGAGCAAGGTACAAACTGGTTTTGTCACACTACTTCCTCCACCAAAATTATTAGATCCCATTATATTCACTGTATGAAATGCAGAGAAAATTGGAACGAGGCAGAACTCAGCTCCTTCTGCCCTTCACAAAAGTATTGAAACAGATTCAAAAGCACACAGAATCTCCTAAAAAAAAGTTAATTAGATCATCAAATTTTCTCCAGAGTTTATATGAGGGATGATCTAAAGTTAACAAATATTGTATTGAAAAGAAAGACCACAGCAAAAGGACAGCTGTCTTCCACCTTCATTAAGAGGCAACCTGTGTTTCTAAAAAAGTGCTACTGTAGAGCAATAGTAAGAGAGCAGAGCCTGAGCAACCAATTTCCAGTCCTACTGCAAATTCCATCAGCTAGAAATGCAACTGACATACACAGGTACCCTGTCAACATTTTCAATTTTGAATACTTTCTCTCCAAAATACTGAAGGCACTGATAAAGCAGTCTTTAACACTATGTTCTGATTAAAATATAAGTTCTCAGGAAGTACAGGCTTTCCTTCTTTTATGGTGACGAGAACAGGGCATTAAAACAAAAGGTGTCAATCTCAATTTGCTCCTTCATTTCTCCAGTCCTACTTCTTCAGCTGCAGTGTTGCATACAGCTTCCCAACATCTAAATATCTCAGTTGCTGAATGAGAAAAACTCTCTCTGATTTTCTAGGTTACTACTGCAATTACTTCAGCCACACTTCACCCTCGCCTCAGAACACACAGACAGTCCAACTTCTTATTGCATTTGTCTCATTCATACGTTCCAGAAATGCAAAATATTTTTGTAGCCATTCTTTATGTTCCCAACTTCTTCTCAATGAACTTTAAAAAAAACCAACAAACAACGTCTTAGTCTCAAACTGCAGACTCTCATTTGTCACTCTACTAACAAAATCTTTTTCAAGATAAAAGAACTCCATGGGACTTCTTTCAGAGGAGCAACAAGATCAACCTCCTTTTCCCTCTCAAGCAGACTGACAACAACCACCTAACAAGAACAGTGAAACTGATGATATATTGTATCAAAACAGAAAGTAAAACTCACAGGTCAAAACCTGAATCCCATTATCAGCATTCTGGTTTAACTTTGAACAAAGCTTCAAGAAATCAAAGTCAGCCAAGAGATGGTTTTCCTAAGCCCTGCCTCTGACAATGCTTTCTTCTTTACTCTACATGCTGCTACGTTTAGGAATTTTATTATAAAATTTCTTACTAGTTTTTTTATCTTCCCCAGTGTTCCAATTTCAGACTTCTTATACCTACACACCAAGTGTCAGGATAAGCAGGAAGAGTAGCAAAGCAGAGGAAAAAGTAAATTTACTGTTACTACAGCAAATCTATGAATAATGATGTTACCTAAAAGAGTTCCAAATAGAAGTAAAGGATGACACAGAAAGCATTTAACAGAGGTAAGGAACAAAAAACACCAGAAAAGCAAGAGGACAGGAAGTGCATTTTGTAGCAATCAAAAATGAGAGCTTGTGCACAAGCACCGAAGCTGCAGTAGTGAAATGGAAGGCAAGAACGACGATGCTTTCTCACTACAGTTGGAAATTTCAGGTTTATCACATGCTAGCCAGGTAGTGATGCAAAACTACGGTTATTTTACAGAATTCAGGGACCATCAGCCAAAAGACAGAATTCTCCTTTTCCTATGCATCTACAACACAAATACTCTGTTCCCATTATGGCACTACCCTATGGCGGTTCCCTTGCTACATTTTTATTGTTGTTATGGCTGGTAGCTTTCACTGGTCAACATCAGCAAAGTCACCATTCCAAGCACTGTGTGTAGAAAACAGAAGGGATAAACTGGCAAAATATAGTACACTGTCCTGGAAAGAGAAAACTGAGTAAGAGGGGGAAGTAAAATACAGAGTATAGTTTAGAGACAAATATCTAAAAATGAAGATAGTTTTAAGGAAAATTCAGCAAGCCAAGAATCAAGACATTAATATCTATGGAAAAAAACAAAAGAGCAAAGCTAGCATCAGTTAATAGAAGAGGACATGCAAAATATTAAGTCTCATGAGGGATCACTCAACAGAGGAAATGCAGCACCAGGTGTGTTTTATTGGTTAATTTCTCATTGATGAATACAATTTCTGCTACCAAAGTCTTTTTAAAATGTCATTATCAAAGTCCATGATACCGGTTTTGCACAGTTATATCTTATAGTAGTCATATCATCACATAATGTTTTTTTTCCAATAATCTATGTTTCTTCAATGTATCTTAAGACAGTGGTTGCAAGATGAATAGAGCCAAAACCTGCATTCAACTCCAATCCTCAGAGATGGAGTATTCGGCAAATGTCTGAACCACTCAAGATACATATGACTGGTTATTAGGCAGCCCAAAAATAACTTTGTATGGATTTAGCAACAAGCTATTACCCTCAATATCCACTAAATTTAGCCACACAATGTGCCACAAATATGTATAAACAGTAATATTTCACAATGCTGATCCCACAGTGGAAAAGAGCAGAGCATATGTATTGCAGAATTTACTATTGCAAGTTTTACACTGCATGGAAACATTTTTCTGGTGTTATAGTTTTTGTACTTCTACTGAAAATAATCAATTTCATAAATTGCAAAATTATACAAGTATTTCAAAGGCAAGTGTGCATTTCCTGCTAATAAGAGATAAAATGGCAACATAAATTTTTTTAATCCACCTTTTTAAAGAATTCTAGTAACAATGCATACAAGAAAGCTTTTACTATGGCTAAGAGCAATGTTTATATTCATTCTGTAGAAAGAAGATTAATATGAAGATGGTTACATCTCATACACATGAGAAGTTTTATGCAGAAGTTCCTTCCATCGCAAAGCTACAAGTAGGCATTATGAAGAAGTACTACAAAGGGGAATACAAACATCACTCTTTACAGTACCAAAGTGTAACGATGTCTAAGGCCAAACAACCTTCCAGTCAGGTTAATTCTCCCCATTTGCCCCCAGAAAGTACTCCACACTAAGGGATCAGAATGAATTTGGTATACAAACAAGTTTGCCAACATTTGTTCAGCACAAACCAGAAAAATACACTCTAAAAAACTGAGGAAAAAGTCTTTACTTTTCACAGGGAAAAAAAAAAAAAAAAAACAACACCAAGAAAAACCAGACCACCACACTCCAGTTCAATAATGGAACTGTTCTTTTTGTGGGAAGAAACAATAACCTGCAAGTTGTGGGTGTGTTTTTTTTAATAGCATGCTGGAAATAGTATTTAATATCCCAAATAAAGTCTCATCCAAATTTCAGGGGTTTTTGTTCTTGTTTTTTAAAGAGAGAACAGGAAAACTATTGTTAGCTCATGGTATCTGCCCAGTTTACATATTGCACGCTCTCCATTCTCAGGTTCCAGTGATTTGAGCCTGTAAGAATTACGCAACATTTTTGTAAAGCCGCAAAATTTAATATGGCTTACAAAATTTACACTATGAAGCACTGGTCAGACAACAATAATGCTCCAACATTCATATAGGAAAAATTAATGGGAAACTTCCAGTTTTCATTTCTTGGCAGTGTTAAAAGAAACCAAAACACTTTCTCCAAAGCACTTAACACATATTAATGGCCACACAGACAGTATTTTTCATTTTGACATCATCATCTTCCTTTTGACCCTTCAAAAGTGACCAACAAGTGGTCAATTGTCCTGTGAGATGGGACAACAGTTATTTCAAACTGTAAAAATGAATGCAAAAAGCTAGGAAATTTGCCCAAGTTTGCACCTACGAAGTCTAGAAACAGACACATACTTCCTGCCTTCACAATAATGGTATAAAAAGTCTTTCCTTCTACCTCGTAGAAGATGTAAAACCAAATACCCTCCATTCTGACTTCTCCACAAACAGTCTTCTGGTATCTGCAAAATCTGCAAACACCTGTTTCTAACTCCCCACCTTTTGTTATATATATTGTATTATATCAATATAAAGCAAAGTCTTCACAGTCCTTTCAAATACCTGGCTGTCAAGTAACCCAGTCAACTGAAATCCAAAGCAAGGACTGTACAAAATAAGATTTCCCAAAGTCTTACAGGGAAAAAGCTTCCTCCATACTGAAGAGGGAAAAAAAAAAATCCATCCAGATAATCAAATATAGTCAAAGTGTTGTTGTTCTGATAACTAATCTATTTTAATGAGCTGTTTCCATTCTAGAACTGCAACAAGGGCCATGTATCCGTACTTCCTTCATTACCTAACTTATAGTTTATTAATCTGCTTGATCTAAAGACTACGGTGTCAGAAAAATAACAGGGTGGTTTTTTTCAAAGCAGTATTTGGCACTTGCGGGACAACCAGTAGAGAGCTAGAGCCACAAAAGACACAAGAAAACAGGAAAAAAAAGGAAGAGATGCATCTTTAAATACATCAGCTTTGTAAAGACCGCGTCCTACCTGTGGGAGCTAACAGCTTAAGAACCAGTCTTACACATGGGCACGTACTTGCAGATTTGTGCAGTTTTACTGCTGTTTCATCTGGTCAGTGAGAGGCATAGGGGTGTGTGCGCACATTTATTGGTTTTTGTATGAGGTCATAGGATAATTCAAGTCAGAAAGGACCTCAGAAAGCCTCTAGTCCAATCTCCCACCCAAAGCAGGGTCAGCTATGGGATCAGACCAGGTTTGCCAGTGTTATCCAGCCCAGTCTTGAAAACCTCCAATGTTGGAGACTCCACAAACTCTTTGGGCAACTTGATCCACTGCTTGACTGTCCCATGGGGAAAGAGATTCTCCTTGTACCTAGCCCGAATCTCTCGTTTCAACTTGTGCCTGTCATCTCTTGTCCTCCAACCACGCACTACTGTGGAGAGCTTGGCTGAGTCTTCTTGATGACATCCCTGTAGGTATTGGAAGGCTGCTAGCGAGTCTCCTGAAGCCTTCTCCAAGCTAAACAAGTCCAGTTTCCTCACCCTCTCTTCACAGGTCGTACACTCCAGGCACCTGATCATCTCGTATGTATTTAATAATTTTCTATTCTCAGTCAACCCCATCCCATTTACTATCTGCTGACAGATGATCACATTGATTTTGATTAGAGCTGCATTTCATAGTTTGCTTTACTGAATTTAAATTTAACAAGTGGTTTAAATTCATTATATAAGATGACCTCCCTTGCAACAGTATACTGTTGCACTTGATAAAGAAGCAATTGCAGTTACCTCCACAATAAAGCAAAAATAAACACGCTTATTGACAGCCTGTCTTTGCTGATCAGTTTGACCAGGCTTTCTTCTACTCAGTAATCATACATGCCAAATGATACCAGTGACCCAAACACTGCCTGCCAAAACTTCCTCATTTAAAAGTACGGAGGTTTTAAGCAATAAATAGTCAAGGTACACAATAATACCCCCTCCAAAGTTTACAGAATTCAAACAGAACACCAGATCCCATGAAATGAATTTCAGCAACTACTACACAGATGAAAATTTAAGAACTGCAGAAGTGCCTCAGCAAGCAAAAACATACTTTACTGTATTTTTCCCATCCTCTAGAAGCCTTTCTTGATTAATATTTTAACTGCTCATGAACACTGCATCTTTAAATGACAGCAGGCTTTCAGAAAAAAATGGAGAAAAAAATTAAAACCCTTTCAAAGGCTATTTTTCAGCAAGTGTTCTCAATTTGTCACTTGTAGAAAGACTGAGCTAAGCAATACTACTGCTCTTCAATTCTGGTTTTGTTAAAAAATATAAAGGGATTTCGTGTAAGTTCAGCAACTTTATTTTCTCTGAAGTATGTATTTCTGCATGCAGATGAGGGGAACGCATACAGCTTATATATAGAAAGAATTTAAAAAACATCCACCACCCCCTTATGCAACAGAAAGCTAAGGGAAAAAAAAAATCACATGGACTATTATTTTGGCCCGTGTCACCCTAATAATAACACAACAGTAGGCTTTCTCTAACAAGCTCTTTGGTTACGTACATGAATATTATTTCGTTTGAAACAGAGTCCTGTTTTCAGTGTTGCTGTAACTGCAAAATTTTATTATTAACTTTCTGCTCCTGTATATGGCACCACAGAAGTTCACAAACTTGACCTGTTCTACCTGGCGGTCCAGATGATGAATCAATTCCTAGAAAGTTCAGGATAAATTCTATTCTGCCTGAAAATACCAACCAACTCAGCTGCAGAGCTTGCGACAGGGCCCACGCCTGAGAAGGCCAAACCTAGACAAGTACTCCAGAACTGTCATGCGACCCTTCCCGGTGAAAGGGCTGGGCAGATCTGATACGAACCATACACTGGATAGTCAATGATCTTTTTTTGATACAATTAAGCTGAAGCTATTTTTACATATTAACTTTTGTTATCTAGTTACATTAACCAATTATCTCTAGTCACAGAAGATGCTATAAAAAGTTCTATTAAAATTATTTTATTTTTACAGCACTGTTCAGACAGTTTCATGATCTTGACACTCAGTTATAGAATCAGTATGCTGAAAACTCACTCTAGAGCAACAGATAAGAACAAGGACTGTTCTGTAAACTGTATTTTCCTTTAGAGACCGTTTAATAAAACAAACACTTTTGCTATAATTACAAACAAAGCTCTGCAGATAAAAAAGTTTAGCCCAACTTTTTATACAGAGCATGTAACTACTGGAGTAAACATGTAAATAATACACAGACTTCTCTATCACATAACTTGGAGTTAGCAGGATCAGATATTTACACGAACACGCTTAGTTCTCCAGGAATGCAACAGAAAAACAGGTACAGGCCTCTACATTTCCTAGCCCTAATCAATCAGAAAGCAGCTAAGAAACAACTTCTGGGTAGAAGCATCAACTTCCTGTGTCATCTACTTTAACAAACCCAGGGATTTTTCAAAATGAAATAGCACGGCCAGCATACATCATGAAATTAGTGCACTTGCTTTAATAAAATTTTGACTAATGATTTATTTCAAAAGAACAACTCCTTTCACAATACGCATGCTGTGTAGCGTGGTCCTTGTGCCCGCAAATTTCCATTTTATAGTCAGGATATGACTGGGTGGGGCAGAGTCACAGTTTTAAGCACTTCATTCCTCCAACTGTTCGGTACAAATACAATCGCACTTACCTATTCCATGAACTCCGATTAAGGATGTTTTCTTTTTTTAAGATCAGTTTTGTGAACCTATTAAGTATGATAACTGAATACAAAACAAATTCGCATGCATGCCTTCAAACTAAAACAAAAGAAGTCTTTAGTCACAGAAGTTTGCCACATTAACGGACCGATCATCTCCCACGTGACACTGCGCTCCACACTACTCTGGAAATGCTCATTGCTTACTATGGCTGCACAAGCAACTAAAAGCAAATGAACAAAAACCCACAGAAAAGCTTAGGTTGATTTCTGAAGAGAGAACATTTTCCTAAAAGCTAATAGTTTTAACAGACTTATGCAGAAATTCATAAAGTTCACATGTGAAACACTCAATTAATAGGTGCACTAAGTTTCATGATTAGACATCAAAACATACAATATACACAAAATAATTTTGCTCTTAGCAAATACTGCACAATGTCCTCCATACCATTTTTGTAAATAGTCCAGTGCCTCCAAACGAGCACCAATCTCAAATGTGATTCCAGGACGATTTGGAGGCTTTTTACTCATCTTGATATTTTCTTTTTCACTACCTTTGGAGGAAGAAAAAAAAAAAAAAAAGTCATATTAAAACACATAATGTTGTCTGAAACATGTCACTGACAGCAAATATATTCCAGAGGGTGGAAAAAGATGTGAAATTTCTATCCTGACTTTCCATTAACTGCTTAGTTTTCAGAAGTATAGTCAAGGCCCAAAAAAGGCATTAAAAAAATTAACGTATTTTTATTCAGATTTCTTCCCCTCCCCACAAAAACAGTCATCAACGTTAAGTCAAAAAAATAAAAAAAAAACTGGTGCTCATCTCCAAAACCGTACTACACTGTAATTCCTTGACATCCCTTTAGAGTGTAACTTTAAGAGTTATGTAGAGTCAATGTGTTTTCTCTCCTCTGCCACGGAAAAGGTCAAAACCAAGAAAAACGTACCTTACCAAGAGCAGAAATTTAAAGATAAACATGGCCTAAAGGACAAGTAAGATGAAATTAGCAAAACCAAAAATAAAGAAACAAAAAGGCCACCATCAGCCATTCTATGCACTCTCGAGTCTCATTCATAGCACGAAGTAAGTTTCGCTCACAAGTGCCTTTTAATTTTTTTGGTAATTCAGGCACTATTACAAAATCACTTCTCTGCCCGACTACTTTCACGGTAATCGTGACTTTCTGACGTACTACCTTTATCACCCCGAAGCAGAGAGTGGCTTGCCGTTGGGGCCGCAGGCTCCTGCGGCATGCCTACTGCAGGGCAGGGGTGCCAGGCTGCAGGGCCAGAGCCTCCTTGCTCCGGACCGCCAGAGGAGCGCGGGCCGGGCGCCCCCTCGCCCCGCGCCGCCAGAGGAGCGGCATCCGGACCCCAGCTTTGAAGCGGGGCTCCTCTGCCAAGGCCGGGAGCGCGATCCGGGGCAGCTGCATCGGGGGCGGAGGCCGACCTGAGGAAGCCCATGCCGCTCCCCGAGCGCGGAAGGCACAAAGGGGTCGTCCCCAGCCAGGCTCGGAGCGCGGGAGGGCCCCCGGCCGGCGGGGGCCGAGCGCT